CAGCAGATGGGCTAGACCAGGTTGAGGGTAAACGAGGGTTTTCAAACCATCAGTGAATTAGGGGGAGTGTCTATGCTAAGCATGTGAAGACTTCCCCAAGTGGGACAGGTGGATGAGAACAATTTGTTTCAGCAGCCATGAAGGCAGCTGAAGCAGGCACTGTGGAATGCTTAGAACTTCGTCAGACATTGAAGACACCAAGGTCATCCACTGCATCCTGAGCTATCACCAGTCATCTTAGCTTTTATATTGCCACTGTACTCTAGTGACTCTGGAAGAGAGACTTTGCACAACTCTGCTTCACTTAAATCCAATTTGTGTATGAGTCAAAAGACATCACCCATTCCATGCTTTGCAAATTTAGAGACATCACCACTCCATATGTTCACATGGACTATTTGTACCCCAACCTGGGGTAGAGCCTTCTGAGCTCATTTGGTTCTGATCAGCCACAATAGGACACACTGTACCTTGACCTTAACATAGTGATGTCATTTTGGTCCTCTTCAAGCACGAAGGACAATAACCATACTCCCTCTTTCCATTTAACCCTACTAGGATGTTTGAGAAGTAGCTGCATTTTGGAAGTGCTGTTTTTCTCTCAAATGATTACTCACTTTCTTAAGTTGTTAACCCTGAAATAAGTTTGTTGACCAGCAAAAGACAGCAAAATTCCCTCTTTCAGAGATGAAAATTACGTTTCTGCCCAGTCAGGTTAGGCGGGGAGCTGGATCTGCAGAGGTGATGAGACACAGTCGGTGTTATCTTCCACAAATCTTTCACAAGTACCCAAAAGATAAAATCCTGCTTCTATTTACATTCCCTTAATGGGGGAAAAAAAGCAAACCATAGGGAAAAGAGAGGCTACTACTGCTTCAGCCTGAAGGCTTGAAGCAGCCAACTTTTCCTCTTCTTTCCAAAAGAATAACCTCTACAGAAGAGTGGAGATTGTGAGTGGAACAGACACAGTAGCTTAGGTACAAAGCATCAGTTGGGCATGTATGGTCACCATAGTGATGCTGCCATGGAAACCCAATGACTAATAGCTTCTGAATTCACTGACTGGTACTCCCCCTAGTGGTGAGACTTATTTGTTCAACTTTTGAATCTTGATGGAATGTAAACTCTTTAAGCAAGCAGAATGTTTTGTATCACCAAAGCTTAAGACATTATTTTGCTCATTCTCTTCATCTACAGAGGAGAGCAAAGTTTCTTATACTTTTCTTATGGGAAAAATGAAAAAAATATTAGTACTGTCAGATAGATTCCCCAAGGGTCTACGCTTGAGCCTATGATGCTTGACATTTTTATCAGTATCTTGGACAAAGATAAAGACAGCACAGTTATCAAACTGGTTCCAAAAGATATTCTAAGCCATTCTTAAGCTAAGATCCCAGCTCTCAGTTCCAAAGGAACTGGGCAGGGAGAGGAGGTGGGGCTTTGCTTCTGGAGACTCGTAAATTGGAAGTTGAATCCATATATGCTGCCTCTACAAGTAATTTTTGGGTTATGCCTCATCCGGAGATGGTAGGGATTGTGAGCCTGCCCAGCCTGCAGAGATCTATCCTCCATGCAATTCTTCTTCCATCACCAGGGTTTCAGACCTATACGATATCCTAGGCCTCTAGATTTGGGCCAAATGACTCCATGCTTACTACATTGCAAAACTCTAGATGTAGTCCTAGGTTGAAGTTAGGAGCCCTGATCATCTTCTGAGCTGTTACTGTCAAATTCTCAGCCCCTGTTCCCCTTATCCTTGTGATCAAAAATCAGCCTCTGCTGAGACAAAAGTTCTCTCTCCTTCCTCTTGAACCTATCCACCTCAGCCTTATCATGGTCCTTCCATGGTCCATATTCTCCTCTCTTCTTCTGTTCTACCATGCCCTTCAGAACCCTAACAACCCTATTGTTACCAAACTCCTCTTTAACTTGGAGCTCTTCCCTTTGCACTCTTTCCACATTCAAGGGCCAACAGAAAACTGGCTTTCCCAGAAGGTACTGCATCCTTAGTCACCCTCTCCAGTACTAGGCATTCTGCTCATGTCTCCCCAAGCAGGGTCACTGTGTGACCCTAGGAAAGTCATTTAACCTCTCTTAGCCTCAGTTTCTCCATATATAAAGTGGGGATAATAATAACACCTACCTCCCAGGGTTGTTATGAGGAGGAGTAGGCAGAGTCCTTGCCCTATACTAGCTGTCCCATTTTTAGCATGCTCTCCCAAAGTATTCTTGATTGCTCTTTACCACCATTACTCAGCAATTTCTCTTAAATCAATCTATTAATATACATTTATTAAGCACTTACTCTGTGTCAGGTAGGGGCCATCTCCACTTGTCCTGACTATATATTGCCACTGGACTCAGATGGCTCCGGAGAAGAAAGTGAGGCTGGTGACCTTGCACAGCCCTCCCTCACTTAAATCCAATTCACTTGCATGTCTTCCTGCTATCATAGTCCTCTTTGAGAACACAGGACAAACAACAACAATAACATTTCTGTGCCAGGCATTGTGCTAAGTCCCGAGGATACATAAAGAGGCAAAAGACAGTCCCTGCCCTCAAGAAGCTTACACGTGATCTTCAAGGCCCTTCTCAGCTAGGAATGATCCTCTCAAAATCAGCTTTCAAAGGTACAGTGAGCTGCAGCCCTTTAGGCTGTTTTGTATGCTTTTGCTTTCGTTTTTCTCACAAGGTTCTAGGTGCAGGCCTGAGCCAGTAAGTAATCTCCAAAAGTGGCCTAGAGAATCACAAAATAGCCAAGTTAGAAGGAATCTCACAGCTATATAGTCCAACTGTACCCTAAGAATCCTCCCTCAGCTGACAAGTTGTCATCCAGCCTTTCCCTAAAGCCCTCCAGTGAAAGGGACCCCACGACCTCTTGTGGAAGCCCATTCCACTTTGAGATGACTTTAAGAGTTAGGAAGGTTTTCCTTATACCCTCATTTTACCTTAGTAAAAAAGGGCTACATATTTTTTTCTTAGAAGGCTTTATTTTCTTCTTTCGGAGCTAACAAAAATTCCCAAATGGCCTCAGTAGTGCCCTGCCCCTTCCATATTATCTCCTCATCTTCCTCCTTTCCTTATCTTCTCTTCCCTCTTTCAATAAGTTTGGGGAATTGGTGGGAAGGGATACTCAACATTGCAGAGGCAGAGAAAAAAATGAACCCTCTCTTTTTTGTATTTCTCTCAAGTTTTATGGGATATTATACACTGGAGAAGACATACTTTAGTGGTTATTGTTGCAGGCAGTTCCCAGGCTAGACTTGTCTGTGCTGGGTCAGTTTTCTGCTTGCCCAGGAGGGGGGGGAGGGAGGATCTTGACCAAACCTTAGCTGGGCAAGAAAATTCCCATTCTTCCTAAGGAGGCAATGAAATTAAGTAGGAAAGGCCCTAACCTGGAAGTCAGCAGAGCAGCTCTGCCAAGTGATTTAAAGTCGTTTTCCTTTCCTAGACTCTAGATTTCTCATCTGCATAATAATGAGTTATTACCAAATTATCTCCAAGGTTCCTCCAGCTCTTCCTGGATTTAAATATTTTGTCCCCATGAATATGGGCGCTCTCCCCAGAGGTATCATAATAATCTGTTTAGTCTTCTCATTCTTTTTTTTTTTTTTGGTCTTTTTGGTGAAGTAATTGGGGTTAAGCAACTTGCCCAGGGTCACACAGCTAGTAAGTCTCATGTGTCTGAGCTCGGATCTGAACTCAGGCCCTCCTGATTCTGAGGCCCGAGCTTTATCCACTGTGCCATCTAGCTGCCCCTCTTCTCATTCTTTAAAAAAAAAAAGTCCATATTTTTTTCTTTAAAGCCTTCCAGAGGAGCTACCCAAGTGCTATAGCCCTCCCTCTGGTACTTTCGATATTTCATAGGTACCAGTACATATAGCTTTGGGGTTCCCCATTTCTTACTCCTCCCTCTTCCTGAATCCTCCTCTTGTAGTGGCAAACTGGGGAGAGAGAGGGGGTTCCCCAAGGCCTCTTCCCCTGCCCTAGGGGCCATCTCCAGTCCTCCTGATCTATATCTTGGCACTGGACCCAGATAGCTCTGGAGGAGAAAGTAAGGCTGGTGACCTTGCACAGCCCTCCCTCACTTAAATCCAATGCACTCGAAAGCCATCATATCATCTTCCTGATGTCATAGTCCTCCTCCAGAACGAAGGACAAACGACAACAATCTCCCCTAGACCAGGCTAACACTGCTAATGGACTGGAACTGGAAAGGTCCATAAAAGTAGGCCAGGCTCACTCTAGCAACCAGAACTGGTTCATTCTGGAGCCTTGGCCTAATGCTAAACAAAGGAAAATCAGAAGGGCCTGAGGGGGACCTCTCATTCCAACAAAGGATTTTCCCCACTGCCTCAGCCGCCGCAGAATGAGCCCAGGAAGCCTGAGGGCCGGGAAGGGAGGAGGGAAGGAGCTGTTTAAGAGCTGGGACCTCAAGAATTCCGGTGCAACACCAAGGCGTGTGATGATTGTCCTGGTATATCCTATCAGTGGGATATGGAGATTACATATGATGTAATTGAAGCATTAACAAACTTGAAGGATATACACATAAGTAGTAACTTAATGTATTTGAAGAATTTAATTTGTATTTATGTCTTACCCAAAAGAGATTATGAACTCTGATACGTGCAAGTGCTACATTTTATCTAAACTTTGCGCATCCCCCAGCACCTAGAATAATGCTCTGCACACTGTGCTTGATTATATCCGATTTATCCTTTAGAAAGCTTATTTGTACATAATTGTTTGCATGTCGTCTCTCCATTAGACTGTAAGCTTTTTGCAGGCAGGGGACTGTCTTTTTGCCGTTTTTTGTATCCCGAGCGTTTAGCACTATACCTGTCACATAGACTTTAATGTAGCCTCCTTGCTTGTTGACGAGGAATCAGTGCCGGCACTCCGGTCCCTCCCAGGATCTGGCACCCCACGCCCTCCTCCCGGTGTGAGCAAGCATCCTGTTCCCGCGTGCCTCCCTCTCGGTCTTTATAGGGTGATGGGGAAGCGTGCCCGGGGGGCCCTAAGGCTCACACCATGAGAGAAGAGAGCAGTCAGCAAGTAATAGGGATTCCGACCGTGGAACCCAAAGGCTTCTACTTGATGGAAGCCGCGGAAGAGCTCTCGGACCAGGTGAGCGAGGTTTCCCATTCCCAGCTCACCCGCCCCTATTCCTGAATCGCAGTGGTACCTCCCAGCCCCTTCCGCTGCCCACCCCAAGCGGGGCTGGATTATACCACTCATTCTTGCCAGCGCTGAGAGGGCAGGAGCTGTAGAGGGCGGGACTAGGTTTGTTCGCATATCTTGGGGGGGGGGGCAATTTAAAGGAAATATGGATGATTTGGGGAACAGGGAGACTTTTCTGCACTAAAAGGGTGGGTGGTCTATTTTTTTCTGCTGTCGGATGGGTTGTGTTTGAGGGGAATGCAGACAGCCTCTCTAGAGGCTAGCGTAGGGGTGGAGTGTGGGGCGGAAAAGACTGAGGGCTGCTTGTGCCATGTGCGACCTTGGTGACTTTAAAAAAAATTGTAAACAAACTTTTTGGATTTGAAGTTGGAAGGAACCATCTAGTCCAATCCCTTCGTTATACATCCAGCATTCAATAAGCATTTATTGAGCGCCTGGTCTTCCCCAAGCACAGTGTTAAGCCTGGGAATACAAAAGGAGACAAAAGACAATTCCTGTCCTCACAGAGCTTACACTCTAATGGGGGATCTAACGTGCAAATATATACAAAGCAAACTATAAACAGGATGAATAGATGGTGAAATCGTGGACCAAATGAGTTAAAAACGTGCCCAAGTTTACACCGGTAGGAAAGTAGGACACGGCCCTTGGAAGGTGTAAGGGGCTTGAGTATATCTTCCTCCCCAATTTAAGTATGCACACATAGAATCGTTGCATTCTTTGATCTGTCCAATTTGAGCTTTACTTTAGCACTGAATTTTGAGGCAGAAGACCTGGGTTTGAATGCGACTGTCACTTAATAGGAATTTGAGCTTGGGTAATTAATTTTCCCTTCCTAGGCCTCTATTTACTTTTTTTGATCTGGATGAGGGGGATGGGGCAAGGAGGAAGGTAAGGAAATTAGATCGTTAAGGTTCCTTTGCAGTTCTAAAATCAATTATCTTAAGATAGTAAGAGCCGTCAGCATCCCATTTAGTCTTAATTCCAGGTATTTTCAAGTGATACTAAGAAATTTTCCATATAGTGCTTGCACCATCTAGCTTTCCGATTTCAGGCCCTATTCCATTTCTGCCACTCTTAGCAACCTCTCTGCATCACCAGCTCCTAGCACAAAGTTTAATAAATGCTTGTTGACTGACTTAAAAGAAAACAGTAGTTAAGTTGTTGTTGTTGTTGTTTAAATCTGCCAACTGCAATATAGGCTATTTTGAGTAGTGCAAACAGGCATCTCTTTAATAATATTGAATCTCATATATAATTCTTCATGATTACAACAAAGATAGAGTTGATGAGACTTTAAAATGGAGATATGCCTTCACCTTGAAATATATCCCTTCATTACTATTACCTGTGTGATTTGGGGCAAGTCACTAAAATTTTGTTTCTTCATCTATAAGATGAGACTTGGATTAGATGCTATCCAAGGTTCTTTCTAGGTCAGAATCTTATGATCCAATGTGCCAAATCCAAAGGTTCTGATACACTTTATTATTTAGTTCTTATTTCTACAGTGCTTTAAAGATTACAAAGTATGTTCTTCATAATAACCCTGGGAGGTAGGTGATACAAACATAATTATTCCCGTTAAAGATGAAACTGAAGATCAGAGAGTTGATCTTCAACTCTTCAGAGTTGTCCAGAGTCCAGAATCACACAGCTAGTACATAACAGAGACTCAAATTCACGTCTTCTGACTCCAACCTCTGTGTTCTTTCCAAGCATGACTGTCCACTTGACATTATGATCCCAAAATTAATCCTTTCCTAAAATAAAAACTGACTGCTTATATTCAAAATCCATTCCCTTATGAGTTATAATCATAAATTTGAGGGTAGAGAGCCTGGGGTAATAGGTTGAGTAATAGCAGTAGAAGCCAACTAGATGACCACTCATTACCAAGATAGATTCCATTATCTTAACCTTGGGTACTACTTAACCTTGGGTACATCACCACCCTTCTCATCTGTAAAATGAGGAGACTGGATTAAGTGATATCTAAAATCTCTTCCAATTCTAAATTCTATGATCCTGCAGATCATAAAGCTTTTTTATGACCATTTTACAAGTGGATGCAAATATATAATAATTATTACCAGAAATTGAGGATCAGGAACTGTAATACATTGATCTAGATTTGTTGGTGCTTTTGTCAGTCAACTAGCATTTACTACATGCCTACTATGTGCTGGGCACTGTACTAAGCACTGGGGTCACAAAGAAAGGTGAAATAGAAGCCCCGCTCTCAAGGAGTATTGTCTTTAGCCAAAGAACTAAAGTCTCTCCAATGCTGAGATAGGTGGTTTTTGCGTTTGTTGTCAAAACGAGTTGATCTGTTTTGGTTATTGGGGCATAATACATGTAATGACAAGGGCACTGAAATGGGAGTCCTGATCCTGTGTAATCCTGGAGCAGTCCCTTCATCATCCTGGGGCTTCAGTCATTTAACCTTTCTCATCTGTAAAAGAGGGATTATATTGTTGTTGTTCAGGTCTGTCTGACTCCTTGTGACCCATTTGAGGTTTTCTTAGCAAAGATACTGGAGTGATTTGCCATTTCCTTCTCCAGTTCATTTTACAGAAAAGGAAACTGAGGCAAATGGGGTTAAATGATTTGCCCAGGGTCACACAGCTAATAAATGTCTAAGGCTGGGTTTGAACTTAGGTCTTCCTGACTTCAGGCCCAGAGCTCTATCCACTGAACCACCTAGCTGCCCTAGAGGTGGCAATTGCACCTACCATGTCTTAGGATTGTTCTGAGAATTACATGAGATAACGTGTAAAATGAGATCCTCCCTCTGTAAAATGAAGGGACTGGACTACGTAATCTTCTAGGGCCATCCCATCCAGCTGTGACGGTCTATGAGAGGCTTGCTGCATGACTTGTCCAGCCTCACATAGTTTTACTTCTGGGTGTCATTTCTTGGCTCGTGCTCCGCCTCCAGCCTCCAATGCTGGGCCCACAAACACTTCCTCTAGTGGTGGCTCTTCTCAAACTATTGTTACTACTCAGCTGTGCTCATTAATCCTAACTCTAACAAGTAAATTAGGGTGGTGGCGAACACAGCCACAGCAGGAGCTTGTTTGTAGGGAATTATGGTGTTTAAGCACAAGACATCCCAGTGATATATCTCATAGTCACATCCATGGAAGGGGGAGGGAAAACAGGACTTGTCATTTCACTGGTGTTGCCATGTTAAATGATTTGGAACTTCCACAGTTTACACCACATGAGATTTCTGCACCACCTGTTCTTTGAGATGGCTTAGAAGTCACCTATTCCTGAAAACTTTCCTGTTTTCTTCCCCTCCTTCCCAACCACCATTGGAAACAATCATTTCTAGGGGCAGCTAGGTGGCGTAGTGGTAGAGCTCTGGCCTTGGAGTCAGGAGGACCTGAATTCAAATTCAGCCTCAGACACTTGACACTTACTAGCTGTGTGACCCTGGGTGAGTCAGTGAACCCCAATTGCCTTGCCAAAATTAAAAGAAAATTATCATTTCTTCCTTGGACCTTACATAATGCTTATTATGTCTTCATCATTTCCTTTTCTGTCTTGCAGTCATTGTACAATTATTGCATATTCATATGAATATATATGCCCTATTTCCCTTACTGAATCATAAGGACTATGAGAGAAGGGACCTCAATTTAATTACCTTTGTGTCTTCCCCAGTGCCAATAGTCCTTTGAATGGATTGGGCACTTAATAAATGACAGCAGAATCCAGGAATGAAAAAAAAAAAGATGCATTTAAATTCACTAATTCAGTCAGATATTTATTGATTACTATACTGGGTGCAGTGTCCTGTACTAAGCACTGCTACTGATACAGAAATTAAGTCTATGTAGTCCTTGCCTTTAAAAAGGCTTATACTCTTCCTGACCCCATTTGGGGTTTTCTTGGCAAAGATACTGGAACGTTTGCTATTTCCTTCTCCAGCTCTAAAATCCAGTTGTTATTCAGTCCTAACTGACTTTTCGTGACCCCATTTGGAGTTAGCTAGCACTTACATAGTGCTTTAAGGTTCAAAAAGAGTTCTTTACAAATGTTAGCTCATTTGATCCTCACAACAACCCTGGGAGTTGGTAGGTGCTACCCGCCTTGTACAGAAGATAGAGGTGGGTTAAGTGACTGGCCTAGGGTCACACAAATAACCAGTTTCTGGGACTGGATTTATATTCAGGTCTTTCTAACCCCAAATCTTGCCTTCTATGCGCTGCACTCACTACCTAGCTTTTGTATTGACTTCCCTGACACCAACATATAAACTATATAACTGCCTAAAACTATATAGCTGCCTCCAGCAGATATATGACTAGAATGCAAAGCAGAATATGATGAATGCCATGACAGAACAAGAAAATTCCACAGGGGTTTATGATTGGGCCATCACAATGAGTTGGGATTGGGGAGGCATCAATGAGGGAAGATTTGAACTGGGCCAGAAGGAGTGGTAGGATTTTGACAGGCAGTGATGGGGGAGAAAAGGGACACATTCTTTTTTTTTTTTTTTTTTGGTGAGGCAATTGGGGTTAAATGACTTGCCCAGAGTCACACAGTTAGTGAAGTGTCTGAGGCCAGATTTGAACTCAGGTCCTCCTGACTCCAAGGCTAGTACTCTATCCACTGCACCACCTAGTTACCCCAGAAGGGACACATTCTAAGTAAAGAGAACTAAACCATAAGCTATTATATGAGCACAGTGATGTTCTTTTAAGAAGTTTTACAATAGCTTAGAGGCAGTCAGGTGGCTCAGTGATATAGCACTGGGCCAGGAGTCAGGAAGACCTACATTCAAATCTGGCCTCAGACATTTACTAGCTGTGTGACCCTGGGCAAATCCTATAACCTCCATTTGCCTTAGTTTCTTCATCTGTAAAATGGAGATAATAGTAATTCCTATTCCCTTGGGGGTGTTTTGAGGTTCAAATAAGATATTTTGTAAAGGCTTTGCCAAACTTAAAGCTACACAAATGCTAATTATTGTTTTATTTTATTGCTATTCTCTAGCATCGACCTCTCCTTAAGAGGCCTTTTAAAGACCTAGTCTGTAGAAGTTTTAGAAGAACAGAATCCAAAGTAGGAATTCCAGGGTTCTGTTCCCTAAGGAATCTTAAGAATAAGGAAATAATAATGATGATGATCATGGTGATAGCTAACATTTATATAGTGCTTACTATGTGCCAGGTACTGTGCTAAGCACTTTAAAATTATTATCTCATTTGATCCTCACAACAACCCTGGAAAATAAGTACTATCACTATTCCCATTCTATAGATGGGGAAACTGAGGCTACATGACTTAGAGCTTACATGACTTGCCCAAGGCCACACAAGTAGTCTAAGGTGGGATTTTCAATCAGGTCCTCCTGACTCCAAGCCCAGCGCTCTTATCTACTGGGCCACCAGCCGCTTCAAACTTGGAGGTAATGTCCCTGGGTCTGCAGCCTCTTGGCCATGGCACCTTTGAATTAGCCATCTTGTATCAGTTTCTCTACCAGTACACCAAAGTGCTACAGCCAGGATGCCTTAAGAGGAGCATACAAAGTGTTCTAAGAATCCAGAGAGATAATGCCCTGCCTCCCCACCCCAAACTGGTCTAAGAATTTATGAATGAAGCTACTTTTGAAGGCAGATCTCTTCACTATCTGACACTGGTATCTTAGAGACATCTCCCTGTTCCCTGCCCCTCAACTCTGCATTTCTTGCCTCCTCATTTTCCTTCTGACCCTTGTATTTACCAGTTCCTTCACCTAACAAAGATATTCCTGCCTCATCTGGCTCGCCTCTGTCTGATCAGCACCTTCTTAGAGGATGGCATTCACACCTGGTGGCAGTGGAATGAACAGAAGGAATCCATTAAGATGTCCTGGATTAGCAGCCCTTTCCTGGCATTAATTTTTGGAATGATCAAAACATTTGGGCAATTGGGTAAGACTTCTTGCTAACCTAGGGCTCATTTCAGTGGAGAAAGGTTACTGGAGGTTGGAGACAGAAAAGTGAGTGGGTCAGTATGTGGGTAAAAGTCTTAGTGGACACGCCTTAGGGAGAAGGGGGACGGGGCTAAGGAAATGGAGCGAGAGTGAATGCTATCACTCCCAAAACAGGTTCTTCATTCTTTCTATTACAGTGGGATGTGTGTTGATTTTGGTCCAGAAGTGTGTTCCTTATGCCTGTTTTGTGCTGTTTGGAATCATTTTCATGCAGGTAAGTAAACAGGCAAGTGTTTCAGTAAGGATCCCCAAGGAGACTGATGTGCTTGGAGTAAAAATAGCCTGGGTTCAGGTCCCAGTTCTGCCACCAACTACATTCTTTGTGACTTTGGTCAAGTCACTTCCATTCTCTGGACCTTCGTTTCATCCTCTGTGAAATGAGGGCTTTGGACTGAGGCCTTACCCCCACCAGTTTAAAATCATATGAAACCTATGATGTTGCTGAAAATATTGGCCATCTCATCGAAGCAGACCTTCCTTGCAATGTCTGAGAAACTGACCTTTGTCTAGCAATGTACTTTGCAGTCACAAGCTGCTTGCCTGACCTTTCTGCTTCCAGAATATTTGCATTACAAATATTGACTTCCCTGACACCAACATATTCTTAGCATAGAAGCTGGCAGGTCTCTTGAGATGCTTCCAGGAGTCTTCCTATATCTCAAAGGTCACCAGAACCTTTCAGGTAACAATTTAATGGAAAGAACACTGGACTTCGAATCAGAAAAGTTTGGGTCCCTGTTTTGCCATTTACCATAACTTAGAAAAGTCTCTTCCTCCATCCAGACCTCGGTTTCCTCATCTGTAAAATGAAGACATTGGATTAGTTGGCTTATAAGAGTTCTTCCACATGGAGATCCTGAGATCTCCTGGATATACAAAGTATTCCTCTTTTCCTTCCTGTGTTTATAAACATCAGTGAATTGAGATGAGAGAAGAGCCATATTTCAAAGCTGCCTTTCATCCCAAATATGCCGTATCTGAAGATTCTAGAAGAATAAGGGCCAGTAGGACAGGAGTCCAGCTCTTCTTGTGACTTCTATTTCCTGCACCTCAACTCCAGCCATCAAAGGTACTGCTGACTGTGCTGGCTTGTTCAGAGCTGGTTTACAGCATCACAAGAGATAAGGATGCTAGCACAAATATAGAAACCACTTCCTCTTTGAATAAGTGGTCAAAGGAGATGAACAAATGATCTTCAAAAGAAGAATCACAAACTATTAACAACTACAAGACAGAATGTTCCAAATTGCTAAAAGAAATGTGAAGCAAAACAACTCTGAGGTTTCACCTCACACTCAATAAAATTGGCAAAGATGATAAAAGGTAAACAATGTGAGAAGGCCTGCAGGATGAGAGGTTCTCTAATATATCCACTAAGGCACTAAGGTAGTGCAGTGGATAGAATTCCAATGAACCTAGAATCAAGAAGACCTGAGTTCAAATTCAGCCTTAGATGCTTCTTAGCTGTAATGGCTTATACGCTTGTCCTGAACAAGTCACTTAAGCTTCATTTGCCATGAATGGAAACTTCATGGGTATTTTCTTCATGGGAAAGCTAGGTGGCTCAGTGGATAAATCACTGGTCTTAGAGTCAGGAAGACCTGGCTTTAAATCTGGCCTCAGACACTTACTAGCTGTGTGACTTTGGGCAATTCACTTACCTGTGTCTGCCTCAGTTTCCTCATCTGTAAAATAAGGATAATAATAGCACCTACCTCCCATGGTTGTTGTGAGGATAAAATGAGATATTTATAGCATTTAGCATACCTTAAAATGCTACATAAATACAAGCTATTATTATTATTATTATTATTATTATCACATACAATTGATAGAACTTGGAATTGGTCTGCCCATTCATGGAAACAATTTTGGAAAATCTTTGGGAAAAATCAGCAACTCACACCTTTTGACCCACAAAATCCATTGGTAGAGCATATATTCCAAGGAAATCAAAGATAGAAAGAGTTTGCATTTATCTACAGAAGCACTTTCTATAGTAGAAAAATACTGAGAACAAAGTATGTTCCCATCAGCTGGGAAACAGTTAAACAAATTGAGGTATGTCAATATAATCCTCAAGATTATTATTTTGAGGAATTCAAAGATTTTGAAAGATTTTACGTAGGAAGATTTATAAGATTGATACTGAATGAAGAAAGCAAAACCAGGAAAACAATATATACAATGACTACTAAATAACATCACTAAAATGAAGTCAAATGCTACATAATTGTAATAACCAATCTTGGCTTTAGAGGCAAGATGAGGAAATGCACCTCCCTCTTTTCTAGAGAGGTGGGGGCTATGGGTGCAGAACACTGCATATACAGTCAAATGTAGTCATTGTGTCAATTGGTTTCATTTAACCATTTTTCTGTTGCAAGGCTAGAGTTGGGCACGAGGAGGAGGTTGCCATATCTGGAAATTACTGTGATGTTAAAAAAAAAGTTGTCAATAAAACATTTAATTTAAAAAAGAAGAAGCAACAAGGATTTGGTGAATAAAACACCACCACTGAACCAAGAAAGCAGAATTGAAGAGCTCCTTTCCCTCTATCTTATTTGCTCTTGCCAAGGTACTAACAGACCTCACTTTCTCCTTTCACCCGTATCCCTGTTTAATAACTCATTGCCAAGACCTAAGAAAACCACAGACAGTTGATAATGAAACATGCTGCTCCTTTGTCCCCATAACAAAGAGGTGGTGGACAGCAGGTGCAGCACCTGCCCAGTCAGTCGATTTGTTTGGAGTAAAACAAATTTCTTATTTTTCTTTTATTTACCTTATTTACTTATCTTTTATTTTATTTTATATTTTAAAATCTTTTATTTTATTGATTTTTCTTCATTACAGAAGAGGTTCTCTTGAGGGTGCAGAGACACTGAGAAGTTACGGTATTTGTTTTTAAGCATCAGTAAAACATTAAAAAAAGAAAAAGAAAAGAAAACCGATACTTTGTGACCAATCAGAAAAAGAAAATTATGCGTTGTGTACAATCAGAAAAAGATAACAATGCTTTGTATTCAATCAGGAAAAGGAAATTTGATTCTTTGTGTCCAATCAGAAAAAGAAAACCTATGCTTTGTGACCAATATAAAACAGCATGGGTATCTTATGCCTCCAAGCCTAATCTTAAGATTCCAAGAATAGTAAGATCATGATTCCCTTCCTAGAGCACCCAGTACATCAACCGACATCATATCTCATCAGTTAAGTGGCAGAGGATTCATCTGGCTCCCAAGTGACCCTCTTCACTTTAAAGCCATTGGAACTTTCAAATGAAAGGCAGCATCTTAAGTAAAATCACGTTGTTGTGATGGTGAGCAGAAGCACTTGAATTGATTGGAGCTCCCCAGGCTAAAGATATCTTGACATCCTCTCTTCCTGCTGCAGGGCCATAAGGCATTGGAATGGTGTCTGGCTGGCCTCAAAGGATCCCCTCTTATCAATGAAGGGGGAGGAGTTCCCCTTCTCTTATTTTTCTTAGCCCCCCCCCCTTAATTCTTCTGTCTTGTTGCTTAACAAGTATTTGTCCAAATGAATTGTATTAAGGGGGAAAATGAATTGAATTCTTGTATACGTTACGATTTGACAATTAGTGGGATAAAAACCCTTCCAAGTTTCCCATGGTCCCTCACAGGCAGCATGTGAATGAGTAATTGTGAACAGATGCTCTTTTTGTTTTGTTTTGTTTTGTTTTTTAAAGTCCGTTCTTCATCAGAGGATTTTTGTAAAGGATGGTCACACATAGCCAGTGTCAAGTGGGAATCTGTTCTTGAATTAATTTTTCCCTCTTTTTGTAGGTCATGGCCTATGGCCTTTTGTGGAACCTCAGATTCCTGATGAGGTGAGTGAGATTAACTGTTGGGGGTTTTCTAGCATGCTCAGTGCTGCCATGGGTGACCCAGTCATGGAAGAGCAGAAGGCCTGGCCTTTGGGGAGTGGAGCCAGAAGGGAGGGGCAAAGCAGTTGTGGCATGAATACCCTGAGCCCGGGCACACTTAATGTGACGCTCCTTTCACCAGAAGGTGGCCACATGTATGGATGCACAATGGACTTACCCTAAGGACCATTGCAAAACTGTGCGTTTTCCGGCCTCTGGGTGGTCACTTCTAGCTCTAGAATGGGAACAAATTGGGGTTTGGGTCATATATGCCTTTCCTGTCTCTGTTCACAATTTTAAGAGCACCTCAGGAAAGCAGCTTTCAAATTCAGTTTAACAATTATCTATTGAGCTCCCAACAACAACAAAAAGATCTTAATGCCCATCTAGCTCAATCCAATTATTTTACAGATGAGAAAACTGAAGTTTAGAAAGGTTACATAGCACCAAATAATCACCTCTTTCCTGAACAATGAAAATAAACAGATACATTTTTCCATCATCTACCCACTCTTAAACTGGAGGCGTTTGAGTGGCCAAGAAAGAATGTATCTACTCAACTGTCCTGTCTGAGATCAGGAATGAGGCTGGTGTGGAACTTTCTACCAGGGATTTGCTTAATTTTGTTGAACATCTTCATTTGTCGCATGTTTCTGCTTTGCTGGATTTGAGCTGAGTGACATCTTACTCTCCTTTATTTCCCTTCCGCTTCCTTGTTTTCCTAGGAACGTTGCTTTGGGTGGTGGTCTGCTGTTCCTCTTAGCAGAGAACCAGGGAGAAGGGAAGTCCATATTTGCTGGTGTCCCCACCTTGGATTGCACCTCTCCCCATCAGTACATTCAGCTGGGAGGAAGAGTTCTTCTCCTCCTCATGTTCATATCACTCCTACACTTTGAAGTGAGCGTGTTCACTGTAAGTGACCTGCAGATTTCTCCTTCATTCCCCTTTCCCTGACCATTTATCCATTTTTTTCCAACATTTCAGAGCCTTCCCCTACCCCCATAGTAGTTAAACAGGCTTCTGTTTCATCCTTATCTCCTTGATTTTTTCCAATTACTTCCCTTCTCCTGACACATTGCTATTATTTATTTCACTCTTTAGTTCAGCTCATCCTTTTTGTCCGTCTATATATACTAGCAAAGCAATCATATAGAAAAGTCCATTAGAGCTTTAAGATTTGTGGAAAGGCCTGTTCAGAAGACTGATCAGAAGGATTTGTTTCATGTTCCCAACATGGCCAATGCCCCTCACCATGATAAGGGAGATTGGCCAGTAGCTCACCCATACTTAAATTAACCCAACTGCCAGCGTAATACAAGTTATGTTACAACCATCATAAATGGTTGTAAAACCCTCACATCCTCCGGAGATCTCACTACAAGCTATTAAGGCCTGTAGCCCATGTTCTTTGGTCTTGTTTATTTCAGGCCATAGATATTCATGGGGGCCATGTAGATTTGGGCAATTTAACACCATAGCCCATTGGGTCTTTCCAGTTATAGGGCTTCTTTCTTTATCCTGTGGGGCTGATCTGTCCCAGAACTAGCAATATATTCTAAAATCAACCAATTAGTTGGGCAATCAGAGCACTATTCTGTGAATCTATTTCTCTTCTCTATTTCAGTCAACCCACGATTTCATTATAGGCGTCACTGTCCTCTGTCCATTTGGGAAATAAAGCCAAAGGCAATGCCATCTTTTAAGTAGGCTTAGTTTTAGGAGGGTGGGGATACACTCAAGGAGTCATTAGGCTGATTGTGCTTCTTTCATGTCCCTTCCTATCTTGCTGCTTAGATCTTCCAAGATGTCTTCAACATGGTTCTCATCATCCTGGTAGCCATTGGGTTCAAAACAAAACTTGCTGCCTTCACTCTTGTGATCTGGCTGCTTCTTATCAACCTGTTAGAGAACCCATTTTGGACCATCCCTGCCAACAGACCCCTCCATGATTTTATGAAGTATGACTTTTTCCACACCCTGTCAGTAATGGGAGGCCTTCTCTTGGTAGTAGCCCTTGGACCTGGGGGATTTTCAATAGATAAAAACAAGAAGAAGTGGTAAATATCACAACAAAATAATAAAGAGTAATGAAAGAGATGGGTTTATTGCATTTTTTACTTTTAACTCCTTTCTTGGGGAGCAGAGGAGAGAGTGGCCCCTATCTACTCATACGTCTTCCAAACATCTCTTAGGACTGTCTGCTGCCTCAGCTGAGTAGTTTTTGTTTCTTTCCCTGGGCCAGACAGAGACGTGTATAAAGTGGATATCTGGGAGTCATCTGTGTTGAGATGATTCTTGAACACATATGGGAACAGATGAGATCATCAAAGAGAGGGTCTCGAGACAGAAGAGAAGAGGACCCAGGACAAAATCTTCCCCTTGGGGAAGATTCTAGGATATGGGTGATGATTCAGTAAAGGAGTAATCTGGCCCTTTATCATCTTGTACTGGGACTTTATTGAAGAAATTTTGTTAATTTTATGGTACTGTGAGAGCTCTATGTACTCACATGGGCCACAGGGAGATGCTCAGTCTTCATTCCACTTCGTGAACTAAAAGAAATGATAGTACCATAGGCACCCAAATTATATGTTATCAGGGTTGGGTATAGATCCATTGGGGCTATCATTTTCCTTGTTTTCTATGGAACTCTATGTCTGGGGACCTCCTTTTTGGCTAATTTGGTGGAATCTAATCCCTGTTGGTCACAGAGCTATTATGGTGGTCCTTTTCTGGAGATCAATTTGAAAACATTATGCCTGCACATATACCTCTGTCCTTTGGTACCAATTAGTTCATTTTACAGGGCTCTGCATCAACTTGGGACTCTCCCCCTCCCTTCTCCTTCATAAAGATTTCCTTCATAGTTACTTACCACTAACCTGTCCAGACTTAGGTTGCCATAATTTTCATTTGCATAAGTCACATTGTTAGCCACCTGTTACTAGCCATTGAACAGACCAGGACATCCCATCCACAGTAGATCCACAGCTCCCACATTATCCATGAAAGCTCCAGTAAGCTGGCTTTTGTTCTGACTTCTGCTCTGCCCAAATGGAAGGACTTCAAGAAACCTATGGAAATAAAGCAGCTGCTCATGGGAAAAGGTGGGAGAAGAAGCATCAGAAGTCTGTGGACCCAAGGGCTTTTCTGGATGGATTCAGTTATCATCTATCTCAAAGTGTGTTTTTGAACAGTTTACTAGAATCGGATTCCCTTTGAAAGCAGCATAAAGAGATCAAAAGGAAATTCGGCTAAAGAAACTAGGCCAAGAGTTTCCTATGTTGCTTAGCACACAATAGTGCTATGTGCCTAGCACATAGTGGTCACTTTATAAATCCTAGTTGACTGTGTAAAATAGGTATTGTGTATATGTGTGTATGTTTATATTCACACCACCTCAGGTTTATATAAGCCTGTTTTATATAAGCCAACTGTCAAAAAAGGCAGAGTCTCTGGCATATTGGCAGGGAGATCTAACCATTCAGTATCATAAACTTGTATTTAGCATGCTATCTGGATGCAGTAAACATGTTAACATTCACTTTTGTTCAGTATTTCCTATATTAGGTGGTCTTTTCTCTGAGAAAGACTAATAGGCAAATATAGAGGGTTAAAAAATGGCTAGGCATTCATCACAAATAGGCAAGTTTAGAGGAAAGACAGTTTTTAGGAGGGGAAATGAGGAGATCCATTTTAGACATGGAGAGCTTAATTTATAGCATTTATAATGCTTAACACAGTGCCTGGTATACAGTAGGTGCTTAGTAAATGCTTATTTTCTTCCCTTCCTTTTATATAGCACTTTAAGGATTGAAAAGCACTTTACAAGTATTATTTCATTGTATCCTCACAACAACCTTAGGAGATAGGTACTATTACAATCTCCATTTTACAATTGAGGGAACTGAGGCAGACAGAAGTTAAGTGACTTGTCCAAGGTCAAACAAGTAGGACCTGAGGTCACATTTGAACTCGGGTCTTCCTGACTCCAGTTGTAGCACTTCATCCACTGCATCATGAGAGGAAATAGCCAGCCGATGGAAGAAACTGAAGATGAAGATAAGGGAATCGTTACTGAAGGAAATGGGAGGGGAGGGAGGGTACAGGCAGATGGATTCATTTTGGCAAGGAAAAGGTCCACAGGAGGAGAGAACGGATGAAGACGAAGAGGACGCTCATGATAGGTGACTTCAATGTTTTTCAGTAAAATAGAAATTGCAGACATTTACTGAGAGGGAAAGGGGAGGCATTGGGAGTCAGAGAGAAAGTCTGGAACAGCTCCTGAGAGAAGGATATAAAAGTTTTACCATGCCACAGCAAAGATCAAGTGGAGATTAGATGACTTTGGGTGACACCCTGTTAGAAAGGTGAGAGATGGATGGCCTCCAAACATGGAATTTGTATTTGATCCAGTCAGAAGCACATGAGTAGGAGCAGAGAAGGAAGACAGTGACAGTGATTCAGGCCTGAGAACGAATGTGAAGTGAATGGTAATAGAACAGGTGGTCAAGAGAGCCAAGGCTGGAGGAAACGAGATTTGGCCAAGATTACTTTAGCCATGATTAGATATGTAGGTTAAGAGAGAGTGAGTAGTGAAAGATAATACTGTGGTTAAGAACCTGGATGATTGGAAAGATGATAGTGCCTTCAACAGCAATAAAGAACTTCAAAAGAGGGGTGGATTGGGGGGAAGAGGGAATGAGTTCTGTTTTGGACATGTTGCGTTGGAGATGCCTATAGGACCTACAATTCAAAATGTCCTGCAGACAATTGGTGACACAGGAACAGACCTCAAAGCCAGTCAGTTTCTCCCTGTAGTCTATGGTGTTTGTTTCTCTAAGTCCATTAGTACAAAATGCATAATACTTGTCTCAGCTTAAATCAGAAGTGAAATACTCAGCTGCTATGTGCAAGGTTGGAGGTAAGCACTTCCGTAAGGCTGGCACCCGGAAACACACTGTGTGTAGAGGAGAGGTAGCCAGGTGTAGCAGTCAGGAAAATCTGTGCTTGATTTCTACCTCTGACACCCACTATCTGTGTGACCCTGAGCAAGTTATTTAATCTTTCTGAGCTTCAGTTTTCTCTGCCTCGGTTTTCTCATCTGTAAAATGGGGATCATAATAGCATCTACCTACCAGGATCGTTGTGAGGATAAAATGAGATATTGTCTATAAAGCGCTTTGGAAACTTTAAAGTGCTATACTATATAAAGTGCTATGTAAATGCTAGTTATTAGGCAGTAGCGCCTCCTTGTATATGTGAAGAACTTTATGAACTTGAAAATGAGGCCTAAATAAGCTATTTTTTTAAATGTGTACTTAAGAATGTCCAACTGTTCTACACCACAGGCATTTGTTGTTTTCAAAAACCTGAATGAAAAGTATAAGAGAATAAAAGGGAGACTTCTTATTTGAGATACTTTTTTCTCCCTTTAAGTAAATAATGTATAATCAGCTTACTGTAAAATATTTCTAACTAAACAAATAAATTGCATTAAATGTCTTTAACAACTTGTCAGTCATTCCCTCTGAAACACCTTTAGCTTTCTATTTGGGGTACATGCACAATACTCTCACTAACTGGTAGGTGATATAATCTCTACTCAAAGTCTTCCAATTCCAAGCACACGGATACTGATGGTTTAGTTTGTAAGGCAGCTTTGTTCTGCTGGTTTGAACCCCCATTGGTAGCCTCCTAGGAGCTAGATGGAATGGTGGATAGAGCACCAGGCCTGCAGTAGGGAAGATTCATCTTCGTAGTTCAAATCTGGCCTCGGACACCTACCAGCTGTGTGACCCTGGGCAAGTCACTTAACCCCCTTCGCCTCAGTTTCCTCATCTGTAAAATGAGCTGGAGAAGGAAAGGGCAAATCACTCCAGTATCTTTGCCAAGAAAATCCTCCAAATGGAGTGACAAAGAGTCAGACACTACTGAAACAACTGAACAACAACAAGCTATATATTTTCAACATGCATCCCTATACATTTTTCCTATTCATAGCTAGTGTGTTTATGATTCTAATTCTTCACTTCAAATAATTTCATAAAGATCTTACCAGACTTCTTGATAGCTTCCATACTTAATCATATTGCATAGTGGTCTATATCATCAGAGGCAGCTAGGTAGTGCAGTGGATAGAGCTCTCAACCTGGAGTCAAGAATACCAGAGTTCAAATCCTGCCTCAAGCAATACTATTAGCTGTGGGGCCCTGGACAAGTCATTTAACCTCTACTGGCTCCTCATTTAACCTCTATTGGAGCACTTACCTCTCCAGGTTGTTATGAGGATAAAATCAGATATTTGTAAAGCACTTTGTAAATCTTAAAGTACTGTATAAATACTCACGAAT